GACAGGGTCTTCCTGGAACCCCAGCTACCCTGGAACTCACCATGTAGACCAGGCTGGCCTTGAACTCACAGAGATCCTCCTGCCTCTGCTTCCTGAGTGCTGGGATTAAAGGCATGTGCCACCATGCCGGACAAGGTATCATTTTTTTATATAACAACTGAGTTTGCAGACTGGCAATTTGACTCAGTGGGTAAAAGTACTTGTAGAATCCTGGTAACTTTAGCTTGATCCCCAGAACCCATGATAGAACAGATGCTAGAAAGTTGTCTTCTGCCCCCCCCCCCCCACAAAATAATATAATCTTAAAAAAAATGAGTTTGCATCCAACTCTTGTTTTTTGTGTCTACTGATTAAGACTTAAGAGCTGCAGAAAATCTCTGATCTACAAATAATTTTTGAGAACTATGAAGCAATTTGAAGATACATGAGGACTCTTGAATGTTTGTGATAGAGCAGAGGATAGGCAGTGATTTCTTTTCCTGGCTAATGTTTATTTTTTTGTTTGGCCTGTGTTTTATGTGGCTTGTTAACTTTGGGAGCTCCTTTGAGCCTGGAGAACAAAAATAAGTTGATGCCACCTGTATTTCCCTCAGATTGCTTTTTTTTTTTTTTTTTTTTTTTGAGAAAGGGGCTCACCTGGAACTTGCTTTGTAGACCAGAATATCCTGAAATTTACAGAGATCCACCAGCCCCCGCCACCTGAGTGCTGGAATTAAAGGATTGCCCCATTATGCCAGGCCAAATTAAATTATTTTATGCTTAGCATGCAGTTTGTCTCTCTGATTTTGGTTTTTTTGGAGACTGGATCTCTTGTAGTCCGGGGTAGTTTCAAGCTCTTGACCTCCTTGCCTCCTTTTCCCAAGTGCTGGGATTATAGGTATGAGTCACCATACTTGTCTTTGTGGTTTCTTTTCATTTTTAAAAAAATGATTTATGCTTTTTATTTTTTAAAGACTGTCTATATGTGGCTAAGTACACGTGAATGCAGGTACCATCAGAAGCCAGAAGAGTTGGATCCTCCAGGCGCTGGAGTTACAGGCAGTTGTGAGCCACCCAACATGTTTGTTGGGATTGAACTCAGGTCCTCTGGATGAGCAGTTCATGCTCTTAACTACCGAGCCATCTCTCCAGCCCCTGGCTAAGCCTCCTGCTTAGCCTCCTTAGTGTTAGACTTGTAAGTGTGTGCCACCATGTCCAATTTACCATGCCTTTGAATGGTAGAAAAATCCTCCAAAGAGCAGTTTTGAATCTCTTCAGAATGTGCCACTTGTTCTCCACAGCCTTTTGTATGGCTGTCTTTTTGTCATCCAGGCCTCAGCTTAAGTGATATCACCCTGACTACCACCCCATCAGGAAAGCTGCCATGTCTTTATGTTGTATCATCACACTTGAGTTCTCCCACAACAATGGTTCTTTTGTGGAGTTTTCATTGCTAGCTGTTCACATGTTTTGGTCTTTATCATTTTCTTCCCCTAGGAAGGAAGCTCCTTAGCAGGAACCTCAGTGCCAGTGCCTGAAGTGCAAGAATAGTTGCTTAAGAAAGTTTTTTTTGAATAGTTTTGTAAGGGATTGTGCTTTTCAGGTTAGAAAAGTATCTTATATAGGCTGATCGCTCTATGTACACTGCAGGGGAAAATATTTGAATAAATGGGTTTGCTCCTTTGAACTCTTTTGTCTGTTTTGGGATCCTATATCAATGCATTCAGATTGTATGAACTTTAATGTGTAGCTTTTTTCACTTGCTGTAATTATTTTGAGATTTACTCAAGTTATAGTATGTATTAGATTTTTGATTTGTCTTGCCTTTTTTTTTTGAGACAGTTTCTCCCTGTAGCCCCAGCTGTCCTGGAACTCTATGTAGACCAGGCTGGCTTTGAACTCACAGAAATCCGCCTGCCTCTGCTTCCCAAGTGCTGGGATCAATGGCGTGTGCCACCATGCCCTACTGTCTTGAATTTTTTAGTTTTTGTATTTAAAAAAATTCATGTGTAGGAGTGTTTTGCCTACATATTATGTATATGAACCACATGCATGCAGTGCCCTCAGTGGTCAGAAGAGGGCATTAGATCCCCTGGAACCAGAGTTACAGATGGTTTTGAGTTGCCATATGAGTACTGGGAACTGAACCCCATTCTCTGCATGAGCAGTATGTGCTTTTAACTACTGAGCCCTTTCCAGCCCCAATTATTTATTTATGTATTTATGTGTTTATGTATTTTCTTTGAATCAGGACCTCACTCTTTAGCTCACCTGGAACTCACTATGTAGACTAGCCTGGCCTTGAATTCACAGAGATCTAACTGCCTCTTGCCTCCTGAGTGCTGGAATTAAAGTCATATGCCTCCATGCCCAGCTTTTTTTTTTTTTAAACACTTATGGGAGGGTGTGGAGAACATGTAGTCAGAGGACAATTTGCCAGAGTTGGTTCTCTCCTTCCACAATGTGGGTGGGTCCCAGGGATTGAACCCAGGTCCTCAGGCTTGGTGATAAGAGCCTTTACTTGCTGAGCCATCTCACTGGCCCTTGCCTTGTATTTTTCTCATTTTTGAGTAACATTTAATTGTAGGAATAGTCACCTTTTGAATCATGCCAGCTTCTATGCCTACTGCTAATGTTTATTATTTATTTGGTTTTTGAGGTAAGATCTCCTTATATAGCTCAGGCTGGATCTCTTATCTTGACCTACCAGGTACTGGGATTGTAGGCATTTACCACCATGCCTAGCTTCTGTGTCCATATTTAAAACATGTCTTTTAGATGATATATAACTGGGATTTCTTTTGCATTGACATCAAGTTACCTACTCTTGGTTGAGTGGTTTAATCTTTTTTATTAATTGTAATTATTGATGTTGAGTTTGAGTCTTCCTGCTACTTGGTTTCATTTTGTATCTTCTGGGTTCCATTCTTCTTGGTCCTTTTCTGCCTTCCTTTGGGTTAATGTATATTTTTAGGGTTTCTTCCTCTTTTTTTTTGTCTTTCTGAGACAGGGTCTCCCTGTAGCCCCAGCTGTCCTGGAATTCACTATGTAGACCAGGCTGGCCTTGAACTCACAGAGATCCGCCTGCCTCTGCCTCCTGAGTGCTGGGATTAAAGGTGTGAGCCATCACTCCTGGCTAGGGTTTCATTTTTGTTTCCTATTAGTACCTTGATAATCTGGTCAGGACCTTAGGTTCTAGCACTGGACATATATGGGCAGCTTAAGGTGCTTAGTCTGCCTTTTAATTTTTTTATATGTATAAATATATTGCCTGCATATATGTAAGCACATATGTGTCATGTAGTGCCTGAGGAGGTCAGATGGAGTGTCGAATTCCCCTGGAACTGGAGTTACAAATGCTGTTAGCCATCATGTAGGTACTGGGAATCGGAGCAGCCAGTGCGCTTAAGAGCTGAGCCATCTCTCCAGCCCTGCTTACTGTATCTTTTTTTTTTTTTTTTTTTTTTTTTTTTTTTAAAAAAAAAAAAAAAAAAAAAAAAAAAAAGAGGACGATAAATCTTTCACTGTGATATATCAAAATAA